GTCCTGAGTTCCTTGCTTGTGCTCTCTCTCCTTCTGCTCCTGATTTGGACCTTGAGATTTCAGTCCGGTGCTCCATTGTGGGTCTCTGTCTCTGTCTCCTTTCATCGCCTGATGATGGTTAATATTCAGGAGGATGCCTATATGATTTTCTTTGGGTTCTCCTTCTTATTTAGCTTCTCTAAGAACCCGAATTATAGGCTCAATGTCCTTTATTTATGGCTAGAAACCAAATATGAGTGAGTACATCCCATGTTCCTCTTTTTTATTGTCCGACCCTCAGTGGCACCTGCTATTATTGTTCTGTCTATTGTGCTATCATTAGTGATGATAGATTAGTGATGCTGACCATTTTCCCTATATATAGGCCAATCTGGGTGATAACTATTAATAATATATATTTTACTCTTTCTGTTTCTTTCAAGACATGGTTTCTTTTTGTAGCCCTGATTACCCTGGAACTCACTTTGTAGACCAGGCTTGTCTCGAACTCAGAGATCCGCCTGCCTCTGTCTTTCGAGTGCTGGGATTAAAGGCGTGTGCCACCCATGCCCAGCTTCTAAATAGGAGATGCTTTCTGAATGTGCATGTCATTCTTGCACAGGGGCCATGCTGATCTTCTCTGTATCGTTCTAACTTAGCATACATACTGCCAAATTGAGCACACTTTTTCTTGATAAATTGTTTCTATTTCTATTAGATCCCACAGTGTATTCACTTCTTTTTTGGTTGCTGCGATAGAATACTCACACAAAAGCTGCTTCAGAAATGAAGGGCTTATGTAGATTTATCCCAAAAGGGGATACTGTTGAAATAGGAGCAGTGGCGGGGCTGCGTCCCCAACACCTCGGCCGCTTGGCTAGCTTATGCCCGAAATAACAACACACCAACTGTATTCATTTAACTGCTTGACCCATTTCTATCTAGCCTCTTTGAGGCTAACTCTTGCACCTGGACTAGCCCATTTCTAATGATTGTTTGTAAGCACCCCAAGGTGCGCTTACCGGGAAGATTCTAGCCTCTGTCCATCATGGTGTCTCTGCTCCAGAGCAGAGCGGTCTACCCAGGAGAGCTTAGCATGGCGTCTCCCCGGGAGCAGAGCAGAGTCTGACCTCACTTCCTCTTCCGCCCAGCATCCTATTCTCTTTATTCCACCCACCTATGTTCTAAGCTATGAGGCCAAGCAGTTGGTTTATTATAATTAACCAATTACCTTCCTCCATCAGGATACAGTCCATCATGAAAGGGAGTGGAAGCAGAACCAGGCAACAGGCCCCACAAGCAGGATGAAAGACAGAGCAGCAAATGGTTCAATCTATAAAATCTCTAAGCCCACCATTAATGATATACCTTCTCCAATAAGCAACCACCTCCTAAAGGGTTCGAGATGTCCCCAAATAGTAACACTACCTTGGGACCAAGTGTTCAAATACATGAGGCTATAAGGTACATTTCATATTAAGCCCAACATCTCGGAAAGGGGAGGAGTGCCTCTGAGTTCTCTCAGAGAATGGTTGGAGCTGGGCCAGGTTGGATAAAGGCAGGCCACACTCATGGGGGTGTCACTGTGGGCCAAGAGCCATCTGCCTAGAGGGAGGAGCAAATTCAGCACTAAATAAGTCCTTGTTAAACGAGAGAATGAATGAGTCATACTACCACAGTGCTTTTCAAAAAGTAAAGAAATCTACACGGGAGGAGCTGACTTTGTCCTTATCACACTCTTAGCCATGTGTGCTATTATTTGAAATGCGTATTTAGGATTATTGACATTTCTTTCCTTTGATTGCTATACATTGTCTTTTTAAAATGTTTTCTTTGTCCTTTGACCATTATGGACAAGTTAATTAAAACACCAAAATGGTCATTGTCCAACTCTTGACTTCCTTAGGTTTGTCTAGTGAGTTCTGTGTTGGATTTGTTGGGATCAAAAACACAGGTGTTCAGCTTGCTTGGTGGAGGAGACATTTATGCTAACACCTTGCTCCCAGCTTAGGAAGTCTATTTCAGGTCTGGCTATAAAGGTTATGAATATTCTGGGAACATGGGATTTTGGAAAGTTTCCAGACCCATCAAGCACTGAAACTATGCTGACTTCACTTGTTTGACTCTCAGGGTGCCTCCTAATGACCCGGACAATATTCCAACTTCACTTTGTGACTCCTGGCTGATGTCACATGGATGTGCTCATAAAATTATCTTCGGCTATGTTGGAAGAATGAAATTTGGTGTTTAAGTGATCACAGCCTTTCCTAAATACGCTCAGATTTAAGACACAAATATTATTTAAATGAAGAATTATGAGACCGTTTCCTCAAATACAACTTAGATTGTGCCAGAAAATGCATTGCTGAACAGAAATTACATACATAATATAATTTCCACTTACAATGATATTTTAAAGGCAGATCCCCAGTAACATTAAAGATAGCAACAGAGACCCCTGCCCCCGCCACACTAGAAAGTCTAGAAAGCCTAACACGTTTATTTCACTTGTGTCTGAAGTTAGCATGACACACCGTCAGAGAATAGGGATGTGCCGGTAAACAGTAATGAGAGCTAACATTCTCGTGTGGGTTTCCACTTTTAAAAAATCCCCATAGTCTGTTTTGTTTGTAGGTAAACCTCTTTCCCTTCTGTTGGTAATAGGCATTTCTGATAATAGAGATGTGCAATTGGAGCTTGCAAATAGCTCTGTAAGAGAAATACATATCTTTTTTAAATATCAGATTTCTACCACTCAGATAACTGCATATTTTTCCAGTATCCTACTTGCTCCTCCAAGCTGAGATGAATCATTCCTGTTGAAGTTTCCCCTAAAGAGAATCAAAGCTCTGTGCCTATAAATTCCACAATATCCTTTGACTAAAGCCTTTTTTATCACGTGTCCTAGAAAACTAATTATTTTTATCTTGTTTATAAGAACAAGAGGAGTCTAATAAGCACCTGCCGGTCTTTCTTTGTTTAAACACAGAAACACCACATAGGAAGCTTTTTTCTAACCCAACTTACTTTTTAAAGTGCCCCGTGCAGATGCCAGTTTCCTGCATGTTTTGACAAATGACACATTTCCTTTGGTGCTTCCTTGTGGGTAACAGCGTGTGAGGATGTGGTGTTGGAAAAATTTATTACAGTTATTTTGTAGTTGATATTAAAAAATGTGATGTATTATACCAGGTGTCTGACCTTTAAAGATCTTAGGACCTAATTCATTACAACATAAAATTTACATATTATTCAACTTTGCTGCAGAACTCCTATGAACAAGTCATGGTGTGTGTGTGTCGGGGCTGAGAAGAAAAAAGCCAGGCTCAAGCAAGAGCTGAGGACTAGACTGCATGCGTGGGGGCTTCTGTGACTCAGGGCAGAGGAACTGCGTGGCTGTTTAAGTTAAGAAAGGTACACAGGGAACCTGGTACAGTGAAAATGTCGGGGACTCATGAGGCACAGCTTTTCAGAGATTCCCATCCAGTCTTCCTTCAGTACAGGACAATGTACACGAAGAGAGAATGAATAACTGTGTATTTCCACAGAGCAGATTAAAGGAATTGAACCTGCTACAGCCGACAAAACCACATACAATGATTTTCTATACCTGATTTAAGCATTTGAGATAAGAAGTCAAAAATGAAAGTGTGTTATGAAACAAAAACCCCAGGTTAAAAAATATATCTATATCTAGATATATTTGAAATCATGCCCATGTAACAGTTCTTCAAAAGAATGAGAATTTAAATCATGTTACAGCAAATTCGATCTGAGCACTAACATTAGGAGCTACTGGAAATCACATTATGATACTTGAGTTCTCTTAATTAATCTTAATGTTTCTTTTTCAATGAAAACTGGAATATTGTTTTCTCATAATACATACTTACATTATTTGTGTTTCCAGTTGAACGAATACCTGTTAAATCGAAAGCCCAACTTTTAATAAGTGCATGTACAACATTCTATCGGATAACAGTTCATTTGTAAAATTGTGGTCCCTACAGCTTCCTATCTCTCAAGACTCCCCAGCCTTGATTGATAATACTATCTTTCCCTGCGGTGGTTCCAGTATTATGACAGAAAAGTAACTTCAAATCTTTCTATAGTGATTATAAAATAATTTGAGTTAATGCAGATGGGCTATTCATGTCAATACAAGTCAAACACTGCTTAAAGATTCAGTTTGCTATCACAGATAATGTTTCCGTATTCAGCAGTTTAATTAGCAAGGAGGCAGCACTTCATCTCAAATGCTGATTTTCTAAATCATTTTTGCTGGAAGGTATAGAAATATGCTTAAAATTTCCTTTTTGGATATGTGCTAATTTTTAGCAAGTGGGTGGAGGCCATCAACACAAGACGAAATGGGAAAAGCCGTAATTATGATCCAAGTGAGTTGCTTTTGGCAAACCCAAGCCAATCGCATGCCGTAAATGGCAAGGTGAGAAGTGTTGTGTTTTCGCAGTAGAGGGAGCTGTCTTCTAGCGCTAGCAAAAATAGAAGGTCACTCCGTCTATTGATAAATCACACTGCCGTGATTCCTAACTGACAGCTCAAACTAACATCAAGCTGGATGAGGGAGAACAAAAGGCCATCAAGCAGCCATTTTCTTGACACTTTTATTCAATCACCAGCAGATTGCTTACGACAGCAATAGCAGCTGTTTTGTCTTCATCTTTCCACATTTGATAAAAGGTGTCAACTCAAATTTTTGTAAATAATTCACTTACCCCTACTGCACACACCGGCACTGTTCAGCATATGTATTTTGTGGGAGCAAATCACCGAGGCAGGTCAGCGGAGCTCAGTGATAGCAGCTGAAGGTCATCTGTGATCTTAAAAGACGACTCGAGAAGGCTGTACCGTCCTTCAAGGTCAGAGATAAGACTATGCGTGGGTATCTGTGATGGGAACAAAAGGTTACACAGTAAGGAGAAAAATATATGAAATGCTTCCGTCAGTATAAGACTCATTTTCTTTGTTTAAGAAATCTCTCACTTCCAGCTCCTTGGTCAGCTATCAGCGGAGGGTATTTGTAAACCCACTGAAGAGATTAAAAATCTAAATTGCTCTTTCAAAAGTTTGAAGAAAGCATTATTTGTAGCCTGCTATTCATCATGACTGTACAGAGGCCAGAGTTACAATCCATTTCTATGTCCTTTTTAAAAAGAATCATAAAAAGAGTGTCAAAAATTAATACAGTTAGAGAGAATTACATTTATCTAGTTCATTTAAAATTCTACCCTGAAATGCATTTAGGCTTGAGAGCGGAGGGAAAAAAAATAGAGAAAGAAGGTGTTTTATATCATAAGAGCTTCGTTTGCTTTAAGGGCTTAGAGAAACTAATAGAGAAATCCTTGAATTATTGCAATAAGATACTCTATCTGGTGTTGGCAAGCAGCTAAAAGCGCTGAGATTAAAAATGATACATCCTTCAATGCTAGCTTGTTTTTTAGGTTGCATTACTCACAGAATAATCTAAACAACAAATAGTCACTATTTGGCTTATATTTTCTAATAGGAAAAGCCCATGTGTTTTTGAGATTCTGTCTGAGTGCCACCCCAGGGGGATTTATTACCTGTAATTGATGTGCACGGGGATCAAAGAGCACCTTTCTTGCATTTTCTCCTATTCTTTCTACGTCAGAACTGGGGGGAAATAACTCTTGCTCTGCCG